AAGATGTTACATGAATGGAAATTGCGCGGTCTTGAGAAATCTCATAATTAGAAACTTTTTCAAAACCTAATTTTATTCCTTCTTCGGGTATAAAATATAAAGATGATGTGATTTTCTATCAGAGGATTGAAAGAAAGTATATTTTTCTTCGTGGTTTCTATGAAATATATTTGAATATGTAAGACTATCGAAAATCAATGGGAAAGATGCATGCTATATAAGTAGTCATTTATTGCCGAGTACAGTTTCTGCAAGAGGATAATGCCGCAAGATAATAAGTATTACAACCGCGCCTAAGTAATTCTTTCTAACCGAAAACGCATTTCAGAATTTCAGCTAACATTACATGAGACCGGTCACTCACTGTAGTACCAGATATACATCCAGATAATGTTACTATTGAGAACTAAATCAACCTCTTCTTGCATCTAAAGTTTATTCCTTGCATTTTGCCAGTTCGTTTATTTAAATAAAATAAACTTTCGATGAACACCTTGCTGTTTACGGTGTCTTTACCGACTGCCAGCTTACTCACTCTCCGAATTTGATGGTCATGCAACCACTTAGTCTTCAACAGTTCTTGGGGATTTCAATCGACGCAGTATCTTTCGGGAAGTTCCTGCCACAGACAACCAACTGGGTCGCCCTCGTAGGCCTATCTGAATAAAAGACCTCATCGCAGAAGTAAACCCTCTTCTAGGATGAAGGCCTGTGGTCAACCCAATTCTTGGCGAATGAAGCCTTCCTCGCCTCGAGTTAATCTAATAAACAAAATAACAACTCCTGTGTACGTTGGAATTTCGTAGGCGGCACTCGACTTCGGTATCCTAGAGTAACTCATGCGTTAAATCAGGATGAAAACCTCCGGTGGGGTTTTTTACAGTACTATTCACGAATAATCATGCATAAACAAAGTACAAACCTCGGCAGTGAATACCCGTAAGACAGTTCGACCGTCGATTCTGACGATGTCCACCGTTTGCTATACAGCAAGGTGCAGAAGGCGCGGTGACTTGCGCGTGAATTATTTTAAAGTGATAGTTGACTTACGCAGCACCTACTGCACTCTCCCCCTCCCCCACACCTGGACCCGGTGTCAATACAGAGTCAAAAAGACCGGAGGCGGGGCAGAGCGCAAGTGATTGGCGCGGCCGGACCTGCACCTAGGCGTATCACCACACCTCCTGCTCCACAATATACATTTGACCAGGATTTTTCACCAACAACAACGGCAAAAACATCCCGACAGGGGTCAGAAGGACGAGGACGATGACTGGGCAGCCATGCCCACCACCTGCGGGAGCGCAAGCTCATCTACCGGCAGGGAACTGCCAGCGCATACCAGGCTGCGAGGGTCATTGTTTGCTGATAGAATAACCGCACATAACGTATGAGTCAGCCGAATTCTAACACATGAGTCCAGACAACAAAATGTGGTAAGATTTGGTTATGCAGCCCCACCTGATGGACACAATACTGTTGGGGTTGCGTTCAGGGGTTAGGGTTAGGCTTAGAGTTAGCGGTTAGGGTTGAGGGTTATGGTAACTATTACTCAACCACTCAAAGTCCAACCGCGCATTCCCAATAGCTTTTCCTTTGCATACAACTACTTGACCTCGGCGCCTGTGCGTTCACTGGTCCCACCTGTAAAAACACCTATTAGCACCGGTCGCGTATTATATGTGGCTGGGGTTTGCTTTCTTCAGGTGGAGCTACATAACCACCCCTGACCGACGTTCGCAAGCGTGGGTCACACACGTGTACGGCCACGATTTTAAGTGAACTTCAGTCCCAGTGTCAGAGTCAAGAATTGACCAAACCAACAAATTCAGTTGAGATGAGCAAGGAGAAACAAAGAGGATAGGGAACAACATGCAAATAGGTCAGATAGAATTTCGCAGAGAGTGCAGCTATGGAGAATCTTGAAACTCGTTCGGTGGGAAATTACACAAGGAGTGGGGGGGGGATATTAGTTATCTCTGTGTTACCACATTCTCCAGCCAAGCTCCCTGCACGGTGTTGGTGAAGCCAATTCAGTCTGTTTGCGGTGGGAGGAGGGGGAAGGTGTGAATGGACATACTGCATGGTTTCAGGTGGTTTAAAGAAACATCATTCCCTAGAGTACATGGAGGTAGCACAGAGACCATGGTGCTACCTTTTTACGGAGCCGCTGCACATTTTGATTGAGAGACCCGAAGGAGGTCAATAATTCATGCCAGACTCACTTCCCGTAGTGGTGTCCTCTGAAACAGCCGGTTGATCACGCTGTATACATGAGCGCCACGAGTATCTGAGTTTAAAGGAGACATTCTTTTCTCTTTTCTTTTCTTTTTCTCTCTTCTCTAAAGTAAATGAAAAAGCAAATGGAAAAAGTGCGAAAAAAGGCCGACGATGAGCTGTCGAGGTAGGATTTTGGCGGGAGCCCACCTTCATTCGAGGGATTAGTCGTTGTTTAACTGACGGTACATGATGCTTTCTTCAAACGCACTGCATTTCGAGTGGTCTGATGCTTTTTGTCGACTTTTGAGTACCAGAACATGCAGTAGTCTATAGGGCCTTTTTTAACATAATCACTTCATCATAAGCTTACACGTGAGTCTGGACTGCCTATTAAGTTAGACTTCACAGGATCTGCGTATCTAATAAGTTGTCAGAATGTTCTTACCGACAAAGACAAGAGAGACCAGAATGGCCATTTCTGGCTTATTAGCCGTCGTCAGCCAGTCATACCCAACTTCAAAGTGTGGAGCACCTGGGACTCGACCCCGCTAAGTTAGATGTTCAACACCTCTAACCACTGAATCATGGGCTCGTTTTCTCGCCGGTTGCGATCGGTAATATACAATGGTAGAGGGGCGCTCACCGATCGTTCTTACGGAACTCACTCTTTCAGTTGTGCCTTACGGGCTCTCCCTCTCGAGCCTAACCAGCAGCCGCACAGCGGCGGGCCCGTGGCTCAGTGGCTAAGAGCGTTGGACTTCTAACCAGGAGGTCGCGGGATCAAGCCACATATGTTCCAGTAAAGCTCGTACATCCGGCTGTCTTCCCTGCCTTTTGAGTTGGGACCCTCCGTGTCCCTGACTTTCGTACTTTTACTGTACTTCGGCTCATTAAACCGCGCGACACGTCAAGTCATACCCCAGAGCAGTTACTGTAAAAAATGACTGCTTAAGTAGCATGCACTCTTCTATTTGACTTTCGATGCCTCTATAAGTCAAATTATATTTCATGGAAAACATGCGTAAAAATATGCATTCTCCCATTCATTCAGTAGAAAATTACTTCTTCCAATTTTATACCCAAAGGAAGGGTATTAATCGGTTTTTAAAACTTTTCCAATTCCTGAATAATTTTTAACCCGCTCTGCCGTCGCATTTGTATTCGGGGTTTCCAAATTACAACCCATGTATTTTCCGCGTACGGAAAACCACACACTTCTCTACGGTATTGAGAGGAAACCATATGGGGTTCATAAAATTTAGCAGTGGATTCGGTCCATATTCTCAACTTTACAAGCCACATTGGTAAATGCAGAGTTATGACGTTTTATGAACGGCCATTTCACGGTATTAAAAAGTCCCAAAGTTAGAAACTTTTTTAAAACCGAATTACGTCCTTCCTTCGAGTAAAAAAATAAAAGAAGACGTACTTTTCTACCGAATGAGCGAGAGAGTGAATAGTTTTTTGCATGTTTTCCACGAAATATAATTGGAATTTAAGAGCATCGAAAATCAGTGTAAAAAATGCATGCTACATAAGTAGTCATTTTTTACAGAGTACAGTTTTTATATTCAGCCGGAAGGATGTTTATTTGAAATCCGGCATCCTGAGGTAACTTAGTTATTATAGAATTATACCGCAGACTGATTAGTTTTACAACCTACTTAATTAATCTTCTCGAAACCAAAACGCATTTGCGAATTTCAGTTGAAATTTCTTGAGTTGGCCCACCTACTGCATGTTTGACTCATTCAGCGTACGAGGAACAACCTTGGGGTTACTGGCGGATCTGACGGCAGGCATCATGAAAGCGTTGTTGTAGTTCATGCCGTCTCTGAAGGTCGTCCAGTGGGTTGATTCTGTTAGCATTGAATCGAATTTTGTCTTGGTTGTCTAGGACAAAATGGCAACCAGCTCTGTCTGTTATAGTAGGGGTCGCTCACCGATAGCTCTTACAGAACTCACTCGTTCCGTTGTGCCTTACGGGCTCTCTATCAAGCCCAACCAGCAGCCGCACAGCGGCGCATGATATAGGCAGTATGGCATTAACGACAAAGACAAGGGAGACTGGAATGGACATTTCTGGCTTATTAGCCGTCGTCAGCCAGTCATACCCAACCCCGAAGTGTGGAACACCTGGGGCTCGAACTCGCGACCTGTTATTTAGAAGTCCACGCCTCAAACTACTGGGCCGACTATCGCCACTACAACGCTACTTAAGTAATCTTTTCCAATCTAAAACGCATGTTGAATTTAGACTGATATTTCGTGAGATAGCACATCCACTGTGTATTCTAATAGTCAGATAGAGTTGGAAAGACTGAAAATAGACGTGTGAGACAGTGGTTGGTAGGGCTAGATGGTCCATCTACGCGTGCTAAACACGACCTGGCCGTAGCTACATGTGAAGTGGGCCCCAACAAAGGGAAGGATAGCTGGAGGATCAGAGTCTCCAGTCAGTTGGCGATCTTCCAGATCAGGCTTTTAGTGTGTCGTGATAGCTTCAATAGTGTCTAATTTATTATATAGTGAGGAATGCACTGGGTTGGCATGAGGAAGGGTATTTCGGTACCAGCCTCTTTCCCAAACCCACGTAACGTAGTCGGTGTGAGGCTAGCAGACTTAGAGTACAAGCGTGAGGCACAACCGACAGTTCGACCGTCCCTCCCGACGATATCCACCATGTGCCCCACAGGATGGCGAGAGCAGAGGCAGTGACTTGGGCGTAAGTTAGTTTAAAATGATAGCCGACTTGCGCAGAATTTACCGCACCCGGGCATTCAGCAGAATGTTGCACCATTGCCCTGATCACCAGACGCCTCCAAGTCCACGGCTGGTGCAGCATTCTTCAGCTTCTCAAGGGCTGTCGTCAGGCTGGCAGCCACGTTCGCCGGCAGAGCAGTCATTTTTTCATCCAGGTCGGGACGAGGCAGGGGCGCCTTCGGCGGAGGGGGCGGCTGCGACTTTGGCACAGGCTGGGCACATGAGTGGGGACCTCGACTTCCGTCCCACAGGTCCCCACTCGTGTGCCCCAGCCTGTGCCAAAGTCGCAGCCGCCCCCTCCGCCGAAGGCGCCACTGCCTCGTCCCGCCCTGGATGAAAAGTTCTCCGCCTACGCACGTGGTCGTGTGCGTGGCCACCGCGCTTTGTTGCACGACTCAGCCGCCCACCCTGTTTAGACAGTACCGAGTCGGTCATTTGTAGGCCCTATGGGCCATTCATACAGCCTTGATGTGGAAGGGTCGAGAATGCTTGAGTTAGGCCGGACGGCATCCTCCAGTTTGTATTAATCTTTAAGCAACCAGAAACCTGGTATCTGAGAGTAGGTCACTCGCCCGCCCAAGTCACACCCAAACCGTGAACCCACACTTTTTTGTCTTCGACCTAGCGTATTCTCCAGATACCGATAATTCGACCGACATCCACCGCGTGTCCCGCGGAGTGGCCGTGGCACGCGGATGTGGTGAGGCAAAGCAATGCTAGGGTGGGCTCTGGCTCTGACGGTAACAATCGGGAGAGGGCACCCAAATATCCGTTGCCTAGAAATAATACTTGCTATACCTATATGAGTAGGTTATGGCCCTACATATTTGTTGTTTCATCCGACCTCAATTTGATCTGATCTGCAGTGCACATGTTGACTCACTTAGATTATCATTGTCTCCAATAGTTTAGATGCGACCGCTGCAGACCGAGCCAGGGTTAATCAACCTTGACCTAGGCTTACACGGCTGAAGAGTGACAGCAGTAGTGGGGTTGCGGCTAAATCTACCCTTGCATACCTTAGGAGAGTTGAAAAACGATCGCTGTATACCGAGCGTTGGTTTGCCATCCTTCGCATATGCATGCTTAGGTCACGAGCGACGACAGTAGTCGGAGAATAGTCGGGGAATGATCGTTTTAGACCCATCCTATGTTTACCAACCTTGACATTAGCTTACACAGCTGAAGAGCGAGCGCAGTAGTCGATATGCGGCATAATCTATGGTAGCATACGTTCAAACACTTACGATACGATCGCTGCGGACCGGCCCTTTGGCTTATCCATTATGACCATTTCTTCCTTAGGTGAGGAATGACCGCAGTTGTAGGTATGCGGCTCAATCTATGGCACCATACCCTTTGGACAGTTGCGAAACGATCGCCGTAGACCCACCCACGTTAAACAACCTTAATATAAGCCTTTACTGCTGACAAGCGACCACAGTAGTCCCTATGCGGAGTATTCTATAGAAGCTTACTTACGGACAATTGCAATACGATCGCCGTTGACCGAACACTTGGATTATCAATTTTTACCATTACTTCCAGAGATCAAGAGGCTACCGCAGTCGCCAGTGTGCGGCTCAGTCAGTGGCTGCGTAGCTTAGGACAGTTGCAATAAGGTCGCTGATTTGGCCGGCAGTATTTTTTGGATGCCCTCTCCCGATTGTTACCCGGGTTTACGCCGAACCAGCCACCTGCGTCCTCCGTCTCCGGTCGCCTTGGCTTTGTCTTGACACCTGCCTCAGGTGGACAGGAGGAGGAGAGAGTGCGGTAAATTCTGCGCAAGTCGGCTATCATTTTAAACTAACTTACGCCCAAGTCACTGCCTCTGCTCTCGCCATCCTGTGGGGCACATGGTGGATATCGTCGGGAGGGACGGTCGAACTGTCGGTTGTGCCTCACGCTTGTACTCTAAGTCTGCTAGCCTCACACCGACTACGTTACGTGGGTTTGGGAAAGAGGCTGGTACCGAAATACCCTTCCTCATGCCAACCCAGTGCATTCCTCACTATATAATAAATTAGACACTATTGAAGCTATCACGACACACTAAAAGCCTGATCTGGAAGATCGCCAACTGACTGGAGACTCTGATCCTCCAGCTATCCTTCCCTTTGTTGGGGCCCACTTCACATGTAGCTACGGCCAGGTCGTGTTTAGCACGCGTAGATGGACCATCTAGCCCTACCAACCACTGTCTCACACGTCTATTTTCAGTCTTTCCAACTCTATCTGACTATTAGAATACACAGTGGATGTGCTATCTCACGAAATATCAGTCTAAATTCAACATGCGTTTTAGATTGGAAAAGATTACTTAAGTAGCGTTGTAGTGGCGATAGTCGGCCCAGTAGTTTGAGGCGTGGACTTCTAAATAACAGGTCGCGAGTTCGAGCCCCAGGTGTTCCACACTTCGGGGTTGGGTATGACTGGCTGACGACGGCTAATAAGCCAGAAATGTCCATTCCAGTCTCCCTTGTCTTTGTCGGTAATGTCATACTGTCTGTCTGTTATCGGATATCTGATTTCGTAATTCCATTCTGTTCTTATGCCGTGGATGGCATCTGGTACCGACCGCTCCGCCCCTTGCTGGCAGCGCATACCCTAGCCTCTGGTTAGGTTTCAGGTTCATCAATCTCCTCTTCTGAGCAAATGGCTGTGGTTCACCACTCTAGCTCAAAGAATAGGTTCACTTCTAAAGGATAGTTTAGACATGCGTTGAGCCGATAGCTGATTTCCCCCTAGTTGGGCTATCGGATTTTAATTCCGTGTGACTTCAGACGATGGAGTCCAGCTTACCTGCGTCAATAAATGAAAACCCCTCGGTTATGATAGTCCGACTTCCACTTTCAGAATTCCAAATAGCCATCGTTGAATGCCGAGGCAGGAGGGGGTGTTTTCGAATTCGGTGAAGCAGAGTAGGCAATCTGCGGACCTTGAATTGAATTAAGCACAGCTGTCCTGTACTAGTTCAGAAGCTCTGTGTTCCCCAGAATTACTAGAGGAGTTAATATTGGCTGCTTCTGAGAGGTGTCACCATTCTGACAGTTTATAGTTCTGGCAGAGTCAATTATCCGTTGTTATTCAGAATTAGTTGAACATGCTGTGAATAAGACACGGGATTCCGGGAAGGATACCTATTCCCGTACCCTAATTCTAGTTCAGAAGCTCTGTGTTCTCCAGAACTACTGTAGGAGTCAACACTGGTTGCTTCTGAGAAGTCTCACCATTCTGGCAGGGCCAATTCTTCGTTTTGGGCAGAATTCGTTGGATATGCTGTGGATAAGACGCCAACTTCCGGACTCTTCGTATCCTTACTTTAACCCTAACATTAATTGAAACCTTATCCCTCATTCCAATCACGCTGACATTTAGCCTGAGGCCACTTCTGTTACAAGGGACGGAAGTTGGACTCAACATTGAATGGAAGAGGTCCGTCTCTGTCATGTCACTGCGTCGTCCGTACCAGAAAAAGGCTGTCTTTTCGAAATTGCGGTAAAGAATGTACCGCCGATTGTTACTGTTGTCTGGCAAAAACTATCCACGAGTTTTGTATTAGTCAAGACGGATATTACCGTTGTTTTGATTCGAGTCTACTTTGAGTGCGCGAACCATAACCTTCCGGTCAGCCGTAAACCCGGTTAGGCCGGGGTTCGATGGGCAGCACTCACGCGGGACTGTTTACGAAGAAATGGATTCCTGTGGTCACAGCATTCAAGGGCCGGACGTCTCCATTCACCATTTTAACACATCATTGAAGTCTCCCTCGAAAGAGCCGAGGGCTGACTGAAGCCTTTTCGGATGGCGGACAACATTCCGCATCTCGTTATGCCGCTGTGACTTGCAACCTGCTACAGGTAACTGACTCGCCAGATGTGTGTCCAGTCACGTCTATAGACAGCATCGTCGCATGGCCCACAGAGGCCTTCCTGCCTGTGCCGAGAAATCTCTCACCTGGGGACGGGTCTTCTCTGAAAGCCGTTCACTATCAATGCCTGCAGACAAGTTCCCTCTTCCCGTTCGGCGTCTTCGGCCGCTGACTCGAGCTTGTAAGTCACCTTGTCTTATCTCATTTACCTCGTGAACAAACAGCATTTCTTATTGCGTCTTCTTTCCCTCGCCTTCCATACGCAGGCAGTTGTAAAAGTAATCGCGCTGACGAAGGCGTAGCCTACCAGAAACCCCTACATGCCGAACTTAGATTTTGGTCCTTTAACTAACTCCATGGGTTTCTTGCCTTTTAGCACTCCAGTGGAAGGGCCCATGGTTGTGCCGGA